CTTCAAAATGCAGACATGTACTTTGAAAATTTTCTTTTAAATCCAACAAATTTTCATAAAGATTGGTCTTCCAAAAATTTGCATTCAAAAATAAGGATACTTCTATAGGAATCAAATTTTCAAAAAGAAGAAAATTTCTATAGAAAATTAGTGTTCAAAATGAAGATATTTTGCATAGAAAATTTAACATCAAAATAAAGAAATTTTCTATAGAAAATTGATTATCAAAATAAAGCAATTTTTAATTGAAAATTATCATTAAAATCAAGAAATTTTTAATAGAAAATTTATTATAAATTTGTAATAAAAAATTTATTATAAATTTGTAATAGAAAATGAAGAAATTTTCTATAGAAAATTAGTCTTCAAAATGAAGAAATTTTCAGAAGAGCATTGATCATCAAAATTAAGAAATTTTCTATAGAAAATTAGTGTTCAAAATGAAGAAATTTTCAATAGAAAATTAGTCTTTAAACTGAACAAATTTTCTACAGAAACTTAACCTTCGAAATGAATAAATTTTCTATAGAACATTAGTCTTCGAAATGAAGAAATTTTCTATAGAAAGTTGATCATCAAAATGAAGAAATTTGCTATAGAAAATTGATCATCAAAATGAAGAAATTTTCTATTGGAAATTGATCATCAAAATGAAGAAATTTTCTATAGGAAATTGTTCACGAAGAAATTTTCTATAGAAAATTGTTCATCAAAATGAAGAAATTTTCTATAGAAAATTGTCATAAAAATTAAGAAATTTTCTATAGAAAATAGTTCATCAAAATGAAGAAATTTTCTATAGAAAATAGTTCATCAAAATGAAGAAATTTTCTATAGAAAATAGTTCATCAAAATGAAGAAATTTTCTATAAAAAATAGTTCATCAAAATGAAGAAATTTTCTATAGAAAATTGTTCATCAAAATGAAGAAATTTTCTATAGAAAATTGTTCATCAAAATGAAGAAATTTTCTATAGAAAATTGTTCATCAAAATGAAGAAATTTTCTATAGAAAATTGTTCATCAAAATGAAGAAATTTTCTATAGAAAATTGTTCATCAAAATGAAGAAATTTTCTATAGAAAATTGTTCATCAAAATGAAGAAAATTTCTATGAAAAATTAGTTTTCAAAATGAAGAAATTTTCTATAAAAAATTAATCATCGAAATGAAGAAATTTTTAATAGAAAATTGCTTTTCAACATAAAGAAGTTTTCTATAGAAAATTGCTCTTCAAAATGAAGAATTTTTTATTGAAATATATTTTTTAAAATGACGACTGTAAACAAACTTGAATTGAAAACATTTTATAAAATAATGAAAAAAATGTTTCCGCAACATGTTGCCTTAATCATAAATTAAAAATTTTTTGTTGAAAATTACATATTTTCTACCAAAAAGAAAAATATTCCACTACTTGTTTCTTATAAATCTCTTTATTATCACTATTAAAAGCTAAGTTACGCAGCCAACCTGTCTAACATAATTTCTTTCTTGTTTTTCACCATAATGACATAGTAAATCTATAATAAACATTTTTGAAATTATTTACAATTATTTGTCAACTAATCTCTTAAACAATATTTGTTAACAATTTATGGAAACTTTTAACGCAATTTTGTTAAAGTTTATCACCCACAATAATAATCGCATGGGCGAAAAAAAACATATAAATTGAGTAAATTGAGTAGTAGTAGTAGTAGTGGAAAAGCTGCGAAATGAAACCCACCGCGCGCCAAACCAAACAGCTAAAGTGTAATGAAATCTCTGAAAACATTTAAGCTGCGTATACACACTCTTGTTGTAATAGTAAACTGACTATTTTAGACAAAAAAAGAAAATCGGCTTAAACAAGGTATTAACAATCGTCGTACGGAGTACGTACGTATAAATATGACACCAAATGACAAAACTACTAGTTGCAAAACAGACAGACACGTACACACCGGGGGGACATAGCAAAAGTTTGTTTTTTTTACTTACATGTTTTTATTTGTAATATTTTGCATATAGAAAAAAATCGAATAAATTTTGTAAAAAATATTGTTATTAAAAAAAGAAATTTATACAAGTTGATATTTTATGAGCGCATTACCCTCAAATGCGTAAGAGTTTTATTGCAAAAACACGCTCAGAGAAAGAATTTAGTAGAAGAAAATGTTTATATGCAAAATAAGATTTTAAACGGCAGAATATCTATAGGTTAATCGATAACCGGAGGTGGTGTTAACGTGGGTTAGTTAGTTAGTTTGAAAGGAGGATGTAAATCTGAAGAAATACACATCTAGGCCTCTATCGGAGCTGTTGTGCGTACTTTAACCAGTGCCTCAGGTGGGAATCGAACCCATCACTCCCCGGTCTACCAGACTAGAACAGTAACCACTAATCTACCGGAGGCCACTTTTGTGTGATTTAGTTTCTTTCTTTTGTTAGCACTAATCTTATAAAAAGATGGCTTCTACTCCATTAAAAAAGTAATAATTATATTTTATTTCATTAAATAAACAAAGTTGTCAATGACGATTTAACTTTAATTGCCTTAAACCATTATGTATATTAAACAAATGTATCAGCAACATGTTGCAGAAAACAAAAGTTATCCATAAATAGTTCTGATTTAAAAATATAGCTTTCTATTCCTTCCTTTCATTTAAAGTGACATATAAAGAAATAATTTGCAACATGTTGCTTTAAATATGTTTTGTAGCCGCATTTACATTTTTCTTCGAGTGTCCGCAAAGTTGTAAAACGTTAAAGAAAGAGAAATAATAAAACTTTAAATACGATCATGTTTATAAATTACATTTAATGAAATAACGCACCACTGTAAATGAATACGGCAGAAAACTAATGGGTGTCATCACCTTTTTCTATAAATACCAGAAATTATAATTGGTTTTTACAATATTGCGGAAAAGAAAAATCATCATAAACTTCACAGGAATCACATTAAGTCTAAACAAATTTTCTTTTTAAATCTGACAAAAAGAAGAAAATTATGATAATAACTTATAAAGTTAATAAGTTTTCCCTTTTACGCATAACTATAAACAAAAAGGAGCAGCGAAAGTTTATTTCAAAACCTCCACTTTTACAAAATTTACATTTGAAATTACAAATTTTGAATGTTTAAAACGGTTTTTTTTAAATGTGTCATACATTTTGCACAAACAAAAAACACAAAGAAAAAGCCTACACTAAACAACAAATAAATGCTTAAAATTATTAGTTTTATTATGACAAATAGACGGTTATTATATTTAAAATATTATTCATGTATTTTGGCATAAATATTGTACCACATGTGAAGTTTAAGACACTTTTTTTACATGTACATCCATTCATTAATAAGTTTATTTTAACCATATCTATACTTAAGTTCATTTAACTTTAAATAAATAATTTGTTTAACACTTAAACTCATTATAGACCTAAAAACATGAGTTGGTTGACTTATTTTGATTTTAATGAGTTTAAAGACTTAAATGGCCTAAATTTTAGAATTCATGAACTCAAGGAAATTGCGGTACATAATAATGAAGTACATAATTACTTTTGTTAATTTGAATTAAAGGCCTTTGACCTATTGTTTCCATGCAATTCCTTAACAAATATATTTCAAATTCTTTTAAATTTGTTTGTTAAAGGAAATATGTAGTAATGTTTTGTTAAAAAATTGTTCAGTAAAAATTTTCACACACATTCCAGTTAAAAAATTGGAACATTACAAAAACAAAAAAGAATTCAACTTAACATATTCCACATGTTTAACACAAGTGTTGATAATGTCAGTGATATGGTTGGAGTGACATGTGCAACATTTAAAGTTGCCAACATATGTTGTTTTCTAAACACAAAATGACAAAGTAATAAAAAAATTTTCTGTAGAAAAAAAAAAAAATAACAAACAACAAAACAAAATTCTTTGATTTCTTTTAAGGAGAAAAACAAAACTTACAAAACAAGTGTGAAAAAATAAATTGTAAAAAAAAGATTATATTGTTCACAACTGCCCACATATGGTTTGGAATGTCTAATAAAATTGGCGCCTAGAATTTTCAAATTTAAATATCACAATAGAGCTATAAAGGAAATCAAATTTAATAGAAATTGAAGTCATAGAAAACATTTTTTTTTTTTAATTTTATTTCAGATTGTTTTAAAGAAAAACTGTTTCTTCGAAATAAGAAATTCTTCTAAATAAAGAAAAATATTGAAATTTTCTATTGAAAATTGATCTTCATATTCTATAGAAAATTGATTAAAAATATGAAGAAATTTTCTATTAAAATTGATCGTCAGAAACTGAAGAAATGCTCTAAAGAAAATTGATCTTCAGAAAATAAAGAAATGATCTATAGAAAATTGATCTTCAGAAAATGAAGAAATTTTTGTAGAAAATTGATCTTCAGAAAATGAAGAAATTTTTGTAGAAAATTGATCTTCAGAAAATGAAGAAATTTTTATAGAAAATTGATCATCAGAAAATTAAGAAATTTTATTTAAAAAATTGATCTTCAAAAAATGAAGAAATTTCCTATAGAAAATTGATCTTCAGAAAATGAAGAATTTTTCTATAGAAAATTGATCTTCAGAAAATGAAGAAATTTTCTAAAGAAAATTGATCTTCAGAAAATGAAGAAATTTTCTAAAGAAAATTGATCTTCAGAAAATGAAGAAATGTTCTATAGAAAATTTTTCTTCAAAATATGAAGAAATTTTCTATAGAAAATTAATGTTCAAAATATGAAGAAATTTTCTATAGAAAATTAATCTTCAGAAAATGAAGAAATTTTCGGTAGAAAATTGATCTTCAAAATATAAAGAAATTTTCTATAGAAAATTGATCTTCAAAATATAAAAAAATTTCTATAGAAAATTGATCTTCAAAATATGAAGAAATTTTCTACAGAATTTTATCTTGAAAATATGTCTTTTTGGTTCTGTATAAAAGTTTTCTCTTAAATATTAATAGTAAAAGAAAAATTTCTTTGACTTACCTTAACACGTTCCAAATATTCTTGCAATTCAAAATATGGATCCTCATCTTCATCACCTTCCAATGGTAAATTAGACAAATTAAGCGCTAAATCCAAATTATCCAAAGCAGCTAATTTGTTACGGCTGGTATCACAACCACGAGCTGCTTTTGCTAACCCTGTTGCTGTTAAAACGTGGTTACTTTTATCAATTGATGTGTCATTTGGCTGCTTATAAGCAGAAGACAACGTTGACGTACACAATGATGATGATGGTTGTGTTGCAGCTGTTTTAGACAAGACATTATTACTTAAGATATTTTGTTGCTTATCAAGTGTCATGGTATTTGTTGCTGTTTCCAATGAAGAAGATGATGATGTTGCTGTTGCTGGTGTCTCTTTATTGCTTCCGTATTTATTGGCAGCATTATGATTTGTAAGACTTTGACTGCAACGTGGTATAGTGGCAGCTGAACCAGGTTTAGAGGATTTTAATAATGATGTTGCAGACATAGAGGATGACGTTGTCGTTGATAATGATGCTGCTCTTGCTGTTGATGATGATGATTTGTGGTTTAAATTGTCATTTGTGCCATCTTTTAATTCAACTGAGGTTTGTTGTCTGCCATCAATTTCATCGTTCGAAAATAAAGTCTGTTCTTTTGAAGCAGCTAATTTTTGACACATGTTGCTAGAATTATTGATAATTATAGGCTGTTGACATGTCATGTTTTGTGTTAATAATTTCATAGGTTTATTGCACTGGTTTTTATGTTTATTAAAATTGTCATGTTGTTTGTGTATTTGTTCTGTAAAGATAAATAAAGTGAAACCAAAAAATAAGTAAAATAAAATCAATTTTATGTTTTTTAGAGAAGTTTTTTTTAACCATTTATTTATCTAATAAACATGTCAGTTAATAATTTAGTTTTTTTGCATGTAGCTATTGTTGTTACTTCTAATATAATATTTTATAATCACGTTTTTGCGCTTTTCATTTACAATTGTCGCAATTACTAAAGTATTGTTGCACAAAAGTCTGTTACAATTAACCCCTTAAAGATTAGAAGGATTGCCCAAGAGATTTTGAAATAGTTTTGTTCTAAAATAAGTATAAGAGAGGAATTTTATTTCACATAAACTATTTATATTAAATACAGTAAATAAAATTACTAAATAAAGAAATATTTTAAAGTATTAAAGGAAATTTGTCTTTAATTTTCAATTAGAATACAAAAAGAATCTTCAGAAATGTCGAAATTGGAATTTGTAGTAGATTTCTACTTAAATTTAAAATGCTATTAGTAATTTTACTGCTGGCAACATGTTGCATATAATTTCTTGACATTTTTTGTAAACTAAAGTGTTATTCTTTTAAAGGGTTAATTCTAAGCTTGTTTATTTGCTCTTAGTTGACTTTTTTCCCCCATTTTAGTTGTTGTCATACACTGCGTGACTATAATTTTTTTTGCATTTGTAATTTATATCTAACCATGTTGCACTTTTTTTTTTGCCTGCTCTTTCTCTCACTCACTTAATGTTGCTTTAGCATTATTGTTGTATTTATGTTTCAATGGTGTTACATTTGCATCTAAATATGTTTATGAATGTCTTGAAAATTATTGTTTATTTACTTGTATTTCTGGCAACAGTTGTTGGCCTTAGTACCACAGTTTTTTTACTGTTACAGTTGTTGTTAAATGTTGTTTTTTGTCTGAAATATTGTAGACATTTTAATAATTTTTTTGAGAGCAAGAAAAAATATAATAATAATAATAATAATTTAGATTCATTAGTGACATTTTGTGACAATCATTTTGTAGCCATTTAACATTTTGTACAAATAACAATAAAACACATGTTTATGGGAATTTATAGCCAATAGATAGATGTTGGCAACAAAGTTTCGAATACAAAGAGTTTAGGCTATTTAAATGAAACATTGTATGTTAGTCAAAATTCCATATTAGTTACGGATATTTAATTAAATTTATTGCATTGTAATGAAATACTTGCAGGATTTTTTTTTCAGCAACATAGCAACATGTGTTTTTAATATTTTGTTAAAGTACTTGCTTCATTTGCCTTAAAGTGTTGAAGAGAATATTATTTGTTTTGATATTAATCAGATACATTAGTCTATATAGACTCTTGTCTAGTATATGGACTAGTCAGTTATCTAATCTATGGACCAGCCTTCTTTAGTCTAGAATCAGGAGAGTACAAGTTTTAATATTGTCTTTTACAATATGAAATCTAAATTGTTTAATTATATTCGCTTTTAAATATAATTTTTGTTAAAAAATTTCATTAAAACCCCTAAAAATCTAAAATTATTTTTAAAAATTTACGATTTTCACACGCCAATCGCTAATCAAATCACAGTCATAAATCTTTTGCTCAAATTTAACAAAAAAAAAAAAATGGATTTAAAAAAAACCCTTTAAAACTTGAACATCTATTTCATTCTTAAAATTCTACAGAATTTGGGCAGACAACAACATAATTTTTGCAATGTTCCTTTTTTATTATCTGTAGGTTTCTTCTTTTTTTATGTACAAATCAAAGTGATTTATTAGATTTATTTATATAGAACTCCAAGAAATATTCACAAAGAAAGCCAAACAACAACAAGAAAAGGTCACACTGACCCATAATGTTGGAACAAGAGAAAAAGAAAAATCAAAAAAATTTTAAAATCGGTCAAGAAGACTATAGCAACGAGCTAAAAATGTTATAATATGTTCAATAAAAGCAAGATGGAGTTATGTTATTATAGGATTAACTGTTAAGTCAATAGATATGACAATAATAACACAAAGATTTAAATCAGAGATAGGCTCACATTCCAAGTGAATTCAATCAGTTAAAATTTATATATTTATGACATCTTAAACTTTTAGGTAATATCTTCACCTAATGACTTTTAAACCTAAAATACCATAAGCATTTTTTATAGTTTATTTAAATAAATTTAAAATTTTACTTAAAGAAATACATACAACTTATTTCATGAATGGACTTTTTATTTGTTTGTTAAGACCGTAACTCAATTTTTTGTTTGGTATACATTTGAATATATTTATTTATATTCTCTCCTCTATATGAATATATAAAATTTTATTGCTCATGCGTGCGACCGATGAGGATCAAATGATAAAATAATAAAAACAAAATCCCACAAATTGTATTGAAATAAAGCAGGCAGCCAAGTCAAATAGTCAGCAATAAAAAAAATGCTAAAAAACACAACCCAAGAAACCCAACATACTGCCAACAAGATCATATTGTATTCAATGAATTTGTTTTGGGTTTGTTTTATTTTAATTTTTATTATTACTTTTTTGTTGGATTTGTAGTTATTTCTGTTTCATTTTTACGGTTGCTCGTTACACAATTTCAATGTTGAGATCGTAAATCACGCGACCAAACAAGTCGCTAACAGAGTCAGTCAGTATATACTGTGTCGGACAGCCTGGCTAGCTAGTTTAGTTGGCTAACCATAAAGAAAAAATACTTACATATAATCTTAAATTTACAAATAAAACAAATTTTATTTATAAGGCCAACTGACCAAAGATCCCATGTGTTGCAGCAGCATTAACTTTGTAATGTTGCAGTTACATAAAATTTTATATGGAATATGTGCGTGCTTTTGCAGTTAGCATTTAGTACATGGAGTTTGAGAGAGAGAAGAATACTACGCTTAAGCAGGAGTTTTAACCCTATAAAGGGTTTGAATATTTATAAATTTAAGAAAAAGTTGGTGTTTCTATTTATTAAAGGATTAATTATAGACTTTGTGAATAGCTTTCCGGGAGTATATCTTGTTGTTATACCATACTTGATACATTCTAACATTGGAACAAATTGAGATCACCGCTATAGCTTATTATGACAACTTATCTATTTACATATGTATTAATATCGTCTTTTTCCAGAAGTTTTCCATAGAACGGGTACAAGATAATTTTCCTTTCACTTATAAAAAAATTATATTGGAGTTATGTTTTCAAATAGAGAAATTACAACTTTTAAACGATAGCACTTTTGAATTAACGAAAAGCGATAAGTATTGTGAAGGAATACCAGTGAGACTTCCAAGGTTTCTAAATTGTTGGAAGCAACTTAACTGCGTAATAAAATTTGTCCTGTTCGGTTAAGGGCCGCATATAAGGACAAAATGTGACGGAAGTCATTAAGGAATAAACCACAATAAGTCACTTTTAAATTAAAAGAAAGCGGATGGTAATGAGAAGAAATTTCAGTGAGACTTCCAAGATTTCTAAATTATTGCAAGCCGCTTAACTGCGTAATAAAAATAGTCCTGTTCGGTCAAGGACAGCATATTAGAACTATATATGGGAATTTACTAAAAAATGAAACAAAAATATACTATTATATTTGTTTTTTATGCCTTTTATACATTTGATTCCAAAACATTTGTGATTGCATTATTATTTTAAGAGTATTTAAGTTTTTTACCTGTTAAGGAATGTAAATGAGTTGTTCCTTGTCCTTAAACAAAATATTTGTACATATTATTTTATTTTCAAGGAATTTGCAATTACTTTTTCAATAAAACACTTTTTTAGACATATTTGAAAACTATTTTCACTTAACACAAAATTTATTCAAATTGAAAAATATTTCCTGCTAAAATTCCTGCTTTAATTGCTTTTTTGTTATATATAAAAGCTCAAACATATGAAACTAAAACAAATATGCCAGAGTTGTAAGTAGGGTTCTAAAATTTAAATAAAAAGTCGACTTTTGCAGTAATTGTTTAAGGAAGACTTTTGTTAATTGGCAACAAATAAAATATCGACTTTCGAAATATCGAATTTCGAAAAAAAATATAATTGATTTTGTAATAAAAGTCGCACTTTCATAAATTACAAAGCGTCGGAGTGTCGACTTTTTGTGAGCTGCTAAAGGAAGAAAACGAAAATGATTAATTTTTGTTTCAAACTTTTAACTAGGGTTTTATAGTTGAAACAAAAAGTCGACATTTCGACTATTTGCATATTATGAAAAGTCGACTTTTTGCAATTTTGAAACTTGAATGTTTGTACTTTTTTCATATCAACTTTTTGATTTCTTCCGACTTTGTTAACTTCTTCATTTATTTTTCAATGTTTATGTTAAAAATATATTATCAGGTTTAGAAATGAAAAAGCGTGTGGTTTTAAAAATGGTATCATAACGATAACGGTTACCAGCCTTGAGAATATTTTTCTAACACCTTACGTACAAAAGCTGCTTGCTGTGAAACACTTATTTTACATTGGATTTTGAAAGTTTTGTTATTGTTTACATTTTGAATTATAAAAAATTTAACGTTGCAGTTTACAATTTACTAGTTTTAATTGCAAAAATTATTTCTCTCTAATTTCTGCTGATTCTTTAGTACAAATCTTAACCATAAAATCTGCATAGGGTGGTATGTCATGGGAAAATCCCTTAACAACGCAAGAATATTTCAATTTACAAAGGTGGCGCCCATCGAAATGGATACCAGTGTCCACAATAGATAACTAATTAATCTTCTTATTTAAGCCGGAAGGTATTATACCTATACATAAAGATGTCTATATTTGTGACAGTTAACGATCGACTGCTTGTGGTAATAAATGTTACTTTTTTGGGAAAGCTTTAAAAGAAGTAAAGTATCTAAGGTATGTAGATGGAGTTTAACTCTCTTTTTCTTGCTACACCTGTTCCAAAGAGAATTTAAACAGAATATAGACTAGACTATACAATTGAATATAGACTATCCTATAGACTTGACTATATACTAGGTTATAGA